AGATCCATGGACCTCATCATTCCGAGCTACCCCAAAGCTCCCCTTGGCCCAAAATTGAGCCTTTTACTTCAATTTTTAATGTTTTTGGTGTATCTAGCCCAATCCTTGGGCCAAATACGCAGTTTTGTCTTGTTCCTCTCTTTGTTTTCCCTCCATTTTGCTCCCAACTCATTCCGGAGCTAACCGTTTTGTGTCAGCCCACAAAAAACGGCTAGATCTCCTCCGCAAGATCAGATTTCAAATCTAGGGCCCAAAAAATGAGCCGGCCAACTCACATCAACATTTTTCTTTATTTTTGTTGTTTGAATTCAGATATTGCAGAGATAATGCCCCAAGGACCTTATCTCTGCAATCCGGACTGTCCTCCTAGGATCTAGGAGGGATGAGGTCATCATTGAGACCTGCTAGTCCCTACCGCTGCAGTCCCAACCTAGCGACACTTTTTCCTCCACTCATTTCTCTTCCTTTGTCTCATTCTCCCCCCCTTTTCTCCCCCTTTTCCCTCCTTTCTCTTTTCTTTACTGTTGGGACAAGTGTCCTCTTTCTAGCTGTTGGACTTTTCCCAAGACCTGATTTTGCAACCGGCATATGGCCGTCACACCTCGGACTGCAGTAGTGGCACCCCCAAGGCCAAAGGGGGCTCCTTTTTGCCGCCGCCGCTTCCAGTTTGAGACCCCCTTGCTCCAATTTTCTCCGGCCAGCCCTTTTTCCACGTGGAGCCCTTGGAACTCCGTTTTTCTTGGCCTGGCTGATCCGGGATACGTGGACTGCTGCCCGACCCCCCCTTACTGCCGCTACTCCCTCTCCTCTTTCCCTTCGGCACCTCCCGCTGGCGCTTGCCGCGGTGGTGCTTATCATTATCACCCGGGCCCCTGGCCCGGGCGGTCCCGGCCTCCTGATATTATGTTATTTTATTTTTATCTTTGTTGCATTTGATCTACGGTCCCCTTGGGTCGCCCCAGGTGCCTTCCGTCTTTCCCGTCTCACGTCCGTCTCCTTCGTTCTGTTGTCAATTTCCGTCAGCACCCGACTTCTCCCCCTTTTCTTATTATCCCTACTCTCTCCCCTTTTTTCCGGCGTTTCCCCGGGTGACGACCCGCTCTCGTGTACGCCCCCCTTGGGCCGGTCACCCCTTATTCCGCCGACGGCTCCAGCCTTCAGCCCCCGTCGGCGGCTCCCGACACTTTATCCCGTCGATACCCGTCCTGCTAGTGGTTTCGCTGGTACCATCATTTTTTTCTAGGCCCATGCGGTCCCTGGTACTTTGGCCGGCCCGCATTACGTCTTCCCCTTGGTCTCACGTGGTCCCTGGCACTTTGTCCCGCCGGTTCCACTTCTTCCCTTGGCGCTCCCGACATCCTTTCGCCTTGCGGCGATCTCCGCCCCTTGTTCCTATTGCGTCCCGCATGCTATTCCGTTCCGGGTGTCGGCTCCCACCTAACCTGCGATCTCCTTGGCTCTCCTGCTGTCGTGTCACGTCAGCGCCTTGCGCCCTGTCTCTTCCTGCTTCCTTCCTTCCCTTGCTGCGCACTTCCTATGCTACTACCAGCTTCCCGGTGGCCCTTCTTCGTTCTTGGAGAAAGAGTTGCCCTTGCTATCCTCTCACCGTCCTTCGTCGCTTCCTATTTAGACAGTTCCTTTCTAGTTTGGCGGTCCTGACGACTCTGGGCAGCCTCTAGCTTCTCACTGTCCATGCCTACGCCCCCGATCTTTCCAGCATTCCTTCCTCCGGTTTTCTCTGTCGTGCACAAATTGGTCATATACAATCTCTCGAGTGACGGGAGATCATTCAGGACTCACCAGTCCCGCCACCGGTTAACCGACCCCCCATTTTTCACCTCAATTTATAAAAAAAACATAAGGCCATCTCAAGCAAACTCCACACCAATGTATAGAGTGCACTTCTTACTAACATACACCCTCATTTTGTTAAGTTCATGCATTTGCTGGCGTTCCGATTCACACTTGGCTGTTCTACTACTCGTGTACAAGTGTTATCACTACTCACACCCTCATTTTGTCAAGTTCATGCATTTGGTAGTGTTCCGATTCACACTTGGCTGTTCTACTACTTGTGTACATATGTCCTCACTAGTTTCACTCTCATTTTGTCAAGTTCATGCATTTGGTAGTGTTCCGATTCACACTGCTGATCAACTACTCATGTACATGTGTTCTCACTAGGCACACCCTCATTTTGTCAAGTTCATGCCCTTGGTAACGTTCCGTTTCACACTAGGCTATTCCACTACACGTGCATGTGTTCTCGCTAGTTTCACTCTCACCCTGTCAAGTTCCGACCTTTGGTAGTGTTCCGATTTACACTTGGTTGTTCTACTACTCATGTACATGTGTTCTCACTACTCACACCCTCATGTTGTCAAGTTCATGCCTTTGATAATGTTTCGTTTCACACTAAGGGTGTTCTACTACTCATGTGCATGGATTCTCGCTAGTTCCACCCTCATTTTGTCAAGTTCATGCATTTGGTAGTGTTCCGATTCGCATTTGGCTGTTACTACTGTGGGATGGGTGACCGACACTTGGCTGCTACTGCTGTGGGATGGGTGACCGACACTTGGCTGCTACTGCTGTGTGACGAGTGACCGACACTTGGCTGCTACTACTGAAGGGTGAATTGATTAGGAGTAGGAGCTCCATCTCTCTCTCCTTCTCCCGTCTCCCTCTAGCGATCCTTCTCTTTCTCTCCCCCCTCTCTCTCCGTTTCTCCCTCTTTCCTCCTCTCTCCCCCTCTCCCCCTCTCTTTCTTTCTCTCTCTCTCCCTTTCTTTCTCTCCCTTTCTTTCTCTCCTTCTCTCTCTCTCTTTCTCTCTTTTCTTGCGCTTCGTCCTACCCTCTCCCCCTTCCACCACTTGGCATATAACTAACCCTTCCCACTCACTTGTTACATTGTCAGGGAAACGGACGGTGAAAATAATTTGTCCTCACTTGGCGGAGAAAGTGGGCAAGGGGAGGGCTGCCGGTCCCTTGCGCCGCCAAGAAGGAAGGAAAGAGACACTTGAGGGATTGAGAGGAGCCGGGTCCGGAAAAGGGGCTAGAGGAAGTTGGTGCTTGAAGCAAGGTCAGTTAACTCAACCATTTCCCCGACTGCATGACTATGAAAAGAGGATGATTGAGCTAAGGAAGGAGAATAAAGAGAGGCCAAAGAAGAGGACAAGTTAGGGGGCTATGTGTTGACCCCAATGGGGGATTGTATCGGTCTTTGCCTTTGTGTGGAATTGAGCAGGTGAGTAAAGCCTTGGGATGCCTTGAGCGGAACCGGGCCGGAAGAAAAACGGGCGGCGAAGGAAAAGGGAAGAGGGGGCAAAGGGACTACGAGACCCTTGGTGTAAAATCGACCCAAGAAAGAGCCCTTTGTGCATGAGATTTTGGAGGGTGAATGAAAAAAAGGAGTGAGACTTTTGCTGATCGGAATGTGAAGTAGCCTGTGCATGCGTGTGAAGGCCCCGAAAGGACTAAGGGACCTGCTCCAATAACGATGGATGGAATGTATGAGACACGAGTGCATAGAGGCGAGGGGGAAGACGGCGTTGCCACACCCCGACGACGCCGTAGGATTGCTGTGCTTAGGGAAATGGTGCGTGGCCTGAGGATGACGCTTAGCCTGCGCACAAAGGAAGAGGAACTCTCAAAGAACCCCTGGATCCCCAATGTCAAAGCTCTCTCGCTCGATAGCCCACCCCCATCCATCTGAAAGCACTAGGTGGGGCTGACCCTGGGACGAACGGCCCGCGCCCTGAGCATGAGCGTGGGCGGGCCGAGCCAACTGGGACCCGCAGTGGGGTCGACCAAGGCTCGAAGGTCTACCGGGGTTTGGCCCTACAACGTGACACTATGATATGATCAGTTCTCGTCAAGCTCGTCTTTGGGATACTGTGTGCGGACGTGGATAGAGGAGAGATGCCCAAAGGAGGAGTGGGACCTGAGGGAGATCTATCTTCGATGGCATTGATGGATACTCTCTTCCACCCTCTAAGTCTTATCTCCCTTCTATCAGCTTTGTCCCTTGGTTACGAGACATTGTACGTCGGATCACATTCATGAATATTGGAGACATTGACTTGCGCTGAGACATCTTGTACTTCGACCTGACTAGCTTTCCAATTGACTGGGTTCATTGCAATCACCTCTGCAGCACAAGGAGGGTGCCTTAGAAACTGACCAAAAGTTACCAAAACTTTTTTCTTTTGCTTTTCTTTCTCTGGAAAAAGAAATACGGAACTTTCAAATTAAATGAAAAGCCACAAGCCAAATGCAAGTACTGCAGCTGCTGCTACTGGATCCTTTCACTCAGGACTACTGCCTTCAACCGAATACAATGCACCCTGATCATGAATGTATATAAGGTATGTTTCCGATCCAATACAGTCCTGACAAGGGTGTGTTGTGTTCAGAGGCCCCTGCAGACAGGAAGAAAAACATGTGGCCATCAGATCATCCATCCAATGCACCAATGGCAAAGGGTGAGCCTCTTGTTAGCCACGATACAAGCGCACGATGGATTTTAAGAACAGTCTTGCCTCATAACAGCCATCCAGCAACATAACATAACCACCCACAGAGAGAAAAAGAGAGAGAGAGAGAGAGAGAGAGAGAGAGAGAGAGAGAGAGAGAGAGAGAGAGAGAGAGAGAGAGAGAGAGAGAGAGAGGATGTTTGCATAGCAGAGGGCTTGATCTCGAAGATTGTGCTCCTGTTCCTCACAGCAGCTACCTTCTTGATGGTAGAGGAGAGGGTTCAGAAATCCATGGTCAGGCACACAGAGAGAAAGACAAACATGGATAGAGACGGAGACAGAGACACAGAGAGAGAGAGAGAGAAACACACACACACACACACACACACACAGAGAGAGAGAGAGAGAGAGAGAGAGAGAGAGAGAGAGTAAAGGCAAGAAAATGTCCTTCAAGGAGGATTCAAAGAGGAGGATCTTGACAAACTTTAGACACATAGAGTTGTCCAAAATGTTGTGCTCAACTCACCTTTTCAAAATCTTGGCCACGCACTGCCTCATTTTTCTCCTTGGTCACCGCCCTCAACTCCTTGTCGAGATCACGGGCCTCCTCAGGAAGCTGGCAGTAACGACACCCAGGATGCATCCCATTCAAGCACCACCACAACCACAGAAGCACATCAGGTTATTCAAAAGGGCCTAAAGATTCTGGACATCACTGTGCTTTCTATTTATTTTAAACCTTAATTCTCAACCTCATTACAATTGGCCAGACCCCTTGTCAACCTCAAAGGGCCTCCTCAAGAAAAAATGGTGAGCCTCTACCCGAATGCACTTCCAATGTCAAGCTGTATGATCTGCACCAAGACATGCACTCATCCAGGTACATTTATCAGTGAAGTCCCAAACTGACAAAATAAGCAGCAATCATGGAACTCGACTCTCCCTTTCCCTCCTATCTAATCCAAGCAGGTTCATGGGGCAGGCCCATTCACATGAGCAGTTCACTGCACCTGGCCCATTGGAAAGGGAGAGTCCTCGCTTTCACTACTTGGCTGGAAAGACATACGACTCAGCTAGTCAGCAGCCAATACTATCAGGTTAGTTCACAGAACCTGGTCGTTTCTGGTTTAAAAGCCTTTTCAGCGCCCTTCAACGCATCACCCGCTATCGTCATTGAATGCTTCACCTCCCTTTCTCTTTCTTTCCAGACTTTGCTGAGAGTTATACACATGATGGAGAAACACCTCCACATCCTGAAAAGTTCACATGAAACAAACACATATTACATATGGATATATGACCCTTAAGTTGTCAAATATACTGCCACTAGACACCAGATCACCCAGTTCGTTGTCTGGTCGCACAGACTGTAGCCATGGACGAGAGTGTGAGAGAGAGAGAGAGAGAGAGAGAGAGAGAGAGAGAGAGAGAGAGAGAGAGAGAGAGAATACCAGATTCCCCAAATGGCTGTCGGAACGTACAGGTGGTTGCCACAAAACACACAAAAAAAAGAAAAAGCAAAAGAAACACACACAATTCACCAGCTTGTGCACATGGTTATCGGGTTTTAGTACCGTTGTGCAAATTATTATACCATTAATACACTTTTAATTAAACAAAAAACAATCAAACAGACAAACAAAATTGCAACAAACAAACAAAGCAGAAAGGGAATCCAAGGATTTACCTGGGCATGCTGCAGACGAACCCTGGAGCCTGCCTCATCAATCAAGTCGATTGCCTTGTCAGGCAAGAAACGATCACTGTAAACAGCAGACACACCAACAATCGACCCATTGTACATTAGCATTCGACCAGGTAGATGAACCCAGCGTGCAAAAAAAAAGAAGAAGAAACAAGGGGTCTGGAAACCGAATTGCTCTGTCTTGCACTGCGGCAGAGTGCGGCGCAGCACTTCTTAAAGAATACCAAAAAAAAAAAAAAAAAACTGCCAAAAAGAAGCAAGAACTCAAAAAAAGCTTTGTGAGAAAAACGATCCTCTTTTCTTAATGAATAAAAAATTGTGACATCACACAAGCTTTCTGGTTGCTATTCTACAAAATATTTATCAGGAAAAAAGTTTTGGTGCTATTTTTAGCTTGTCACTCATGCTCCACAGACCCATTACAGCCAAGTTTCTCCGCCTCTTCCCTCTCTGTCAGGGGAGAGATTTCTACTCTCTCATTCAAGCAACCAAATGGACGATGGTAAGCTGAGAGAGATTGGTCGGAGAAATCTCCACCACTTCCAGAATACAGAGGCTTCTGTGCGTCATTCATATACAGTGCAACAGAATACAGTAGAGGGTTGTCACCAGCAGCGAATAGCAAGTAACCCCGAAGGACTAAAGAACACCCACTGTGCACATTTGTATGGGTCAGAATGAACGACTGATGAGGTCGAGGAGGAAGAGGAGGAGGAGGAGGCGGGGGAAAAAGAGGAGGAGGAGGAGGAAGAGGAAGGAGGGAGGGGGAAGCAATTTGAAAAGGGAAATGGCTCACTGCTGGTAAGGGTGGGGAAAAGGGGGCAGGAGGGAGGAGATTCAAAAAGGGAAACGATGCAAAAGCACTGGGCCTCTCATGCACCAAATCAACCCCAACTCGACTCCCTTCTCCACCCTACAACCTCAGTACATAAGATAAAGATATCCAAAAGCTGGGGCTCAGCTTTCTCACTTATCCACAGCTAAGCGTACTGAAACCAAAGGCGCACATCCAGGAGCACGCTAGGTAGCTTTGACATACACACCTGATGTACTGGTATGAGAGCTGCGCAGCAGCAATCAACGCCTCATCGGTGTACCGAAGCTTGTGGTGAATTTCATACCGCTCACGCAAGCCTCGCAAGATGAGAATGGTCTCATCCACTGTCGGTTCCGGGACCTGAACCGGCTGAAACCGACGCTCAAGAGCAGGATCCTTCTCGATGTGCTTGCGATATTCATCGATGGTTGTCGCACCAATGCACTGGAAAGAGCACAAGGAGCACAAGTCAAGCATACAAACACAAACCAAAAAGATGGCAAATCAAATCCAGATCAGCACACAAAGAATCACGCCGAAAACAACAACAGCTAGACAACCCCTCCCTCCCCCCCGCCTCCTCTTTCCCCACCCCGTCCGCCAAACAACAAAAGAAAAGGTGCATGTTGTCTGCATCTGCTTCCTTGTGGAGCAACTTGATATCTGTCTGTTTATACACATGGACATATATATCGTCACGTATTCATAGACTAAACGTGCGCACTTTTTGAAACAAAGTTTAACAAACAATAAAAGTACAGAAGCCAAACATGAGGAGCACACTGTTACATGCACAGATATGCAATGTACGTAATAAACCGAGAATCTGCGATGTGATGAAAAGGACTGAAGAGACAATGCGGTACGAGTAGAATCTCGACAAGCAATGTACATTCTCATTCATACATAAAGATGCTGAAGAGCGCAGGGAAGACTTTGATACAAAGACTGACCTGACAGGACTGACCTCATTCACGTAGTTCAGAGTAGCGAAGCAGAATGCTAGAACACTACTAAAGACTTTGATACAAAGACTGACCTGACAGGACTGACCTCATTCACGTAGTTCAGAGTAACGAAGCAGAATGCTAGAGTACCTCTAACTAACCCAATCAAGGTTTGAACTCAGACTAAACATGCATTGTACCCATCACGAAGTGTGAGGGAGCCTGGTGCTGCACACAGGAAGAAAGCGCCAGGTTCAGACATACACAGACGAAGAGATAAGGAACAGATGAAAGGAGGGAAGAAGATGGGAATGTCGTTAACACCAAGTCTTGGTCACCAATCCCAAATAGTCCCTCGTTGCCATGTCTGAACCCTCGAAAGTCGAGTCTGGATCCAATGTCACCAAGCTCTGTATCTCTTCTCTCATAGTCTGCAGATGCAGTGAAGTCAGAGGTGAGAGGGAGAGAAGAGATGGTGGACTGAGAAGAAGAAGAAGAAGAACTCTCTCTCTCTCTCTCTGTTGCGAACCAACTACTAACCTGTAATGTTGGCGCTGTGCTGCAGGTACCTCGAAGATGAAGCTGGAGCAACGGCGCTGCAGGTAGGTACCTCTGGCCTCCGCCCAATCTCTCTCTCTCTCTCTCTCTAGTACTAACTAGCTATGGCGCCCAGCGCTGGAGACTACAGCTACCTACTGCGCCCAGCGCTGAAGACAACAAGCTAACGCTACTACTCTACACTGCAGCGCTCCCTCCAGAGTGCTGCTTTCGAATCCTGAAGACTACAACTGCCGAACTGCCTACCTCGGAAGTGCCTGGGAAGTCCTATGTACTACCTCAGCCTGCCTCCTGACTACTGGACGGCAGTCAGGCCGAGGAGGGAGCTCTTGCCAATGCCGAAATGTGCCAGGGGCTGGCGTGCAGCAGCCTGCTTGAGGCTGGCGTGGGAAACAGACTAATAATGGTCTGTTTCCGAAACCCTGGTTCGGTGCCTGAGTTTCAGGGCCTGTGGCATACTGCGTAGCCACACGGGCCCTGTAGGACCCATTCCGGACATTCAGCCTAAAAGCCTAAAACTTAGGATCTACAGGCCCCGGTCGTTTCAGCCTGAAAACTGAAAAACGAGGGTCTGCAGGCCCTACTCCGTTTCAGCCTATTTCTGGGTCTTTCAGACCCAGAGTTT